GCAATGTTTTCATGAGACGTTTGAAGACTACAATTCAAACTGAAAACCACTGATACAGTTTTTAAGATAATTCTCTTGTTAACTCTCATAAATAAAGAAAATATTGGAATTTTTTTTCTAACACTTAAATTGCCATACCCTGTGGGTGTCTACGGTAATTCGGTTTCTAAGGATGCCGGCAACTACTGAAAACAATTAAATTGCGCAGATGATCTTTGACTTTGACGCACATCGGTATACCGATGCGTTCACAAATTAGTGACGAGAATGACTGTAACATGGTGTAACTTTTTATTTCAGCTACCGCTAACTTCTTAAGTTCTAACGACTTTCAAACTTTTGTTTTATATTCTTATTGGTACACCCCTACTCCCTCTCATAGCGATCCAACAATAAAAAACCACCAGACAAAAATATGAATTAAGGCAAATTTTACAGTTTCGCACTCACTCAGTTTTGCATTTTACTGTTAGCTTTTACTTAGTTGGAAGTCAGATGACTTTTCTATATTGTAATTTATTCAAGAAGTGATCACCAGTAAATAATATGGTTAATCAGGAACCATAAATGTAAATAATAGATTTATTGCGGAAAGGTGGGTTCGCAGGAAAAGTTTGCAACAAATTGTGGAGTTTGCCATATGAAAATGTTAAGACTGAGAAAAAAATTTAGCCTGAAATGTTCCCAAGGACAAATGAAGTCTGTCAAAAAAATATTACGGTCCGATATCTGGTGAACTTGGTAGCGATGCAGCCACTATTTCAGTAGCGCTTAAGGTATTAAACTTTAATGTAAATCAGTAGACAGCGAGGCGAAGAATTGTCAAATTGAGCGCAAAGGATCATAAAAGAAAAAAGCAAATTTGATCAAAATACAAGTGCGAGTGTGGCAGCATTTTGATACATCGCACGAAAACCTGACCGTTGCCTATTGGGATATGTTAGGTCTTTCAGAATGCATTTTTAAATTTCAATTGAAGGTTATTTGGTTTGACAAGACTAAATTAATCGCTTTCAATCAGATGGCCGGGCATGGTATTGTATCAAAGACCCAAATTAATCCGAAGCGCATCATGTAAGGCAAACTGTGAATCACAGTGGTCGGTCAATAATAGTTTGGCGTTGTATTTCAAAAATTTTGTTGGTTCATGTGTTTACAAATTCTTTCACATCTCACAAACAAAAAGAAATAACAATGGGCGACAGTAAGAGCAAATGTGTGCTACCATATGTTTTAAAAGAAAAAACACCGCAAATAACTGCACATAATCACGGTATACACTTTTCCTACTTGTAGGTATGCTAAATGCATATAATAAAGCCCCTATACTTTTAAAGTGCTTTTTTTAAAGAGTAAAATTTTTTATTACAAATTCCAGCCTGCTGCGTTTTTTTTATAAAATTCAATACTTCGATAAATAATAAAAAATTACATATTTTCGCCTACGGCGTTTTTTTTTTATAAAAATCAATACTTCGACAAATCCTTAAAACTTTTAATAAATAATTGCTCGATTTTAGACTGCAGCGCTTTTTTTGAAATCAGTACATCGATATATAATTAAAAAATAAACGAATTATGTGCGTTTTTAATCGACTTCCAAAAAACGAGGAGGTTATCAGTTTTATGCCTGTTACCGCATAACTTTGGACCACTTCCACCGATTTCGATGAGTCTTTTTGCATCGGAAAGGTAGTGTCTCACAGGTGGTCCCATAAGCTGGTTTAGATCCGATCATTGGATCATGAAATATATATATATATATTTCATATATTATATGAGAATTTTATGTATATATATATATATATTTATATATATAATATGAGAATCACATATATATATGAGAATTATATATATACATATATATATATATTATGAGAATTGAAGTCGGTTTTGGTTTTTGCTTAAAAATTACTTGTTATTGTTTCCCGTCTTCAGCGGTTTCGTTTCTGTTGCATTTTTTGTTGTGTGGCAGCACCGACATTTCTGTTAATTGGTCTACAAAGTAGAGATGGGCACGGGCCTAAATTTGAAAAACACGCACGAGCCCGCACGTTAAGAATTTTAGTGCGGCCCGGCCCGGAAATAAAGAGCCAACTTTTATTGTATGTATGCATATGTACTTATTTTTAATTTTGTGCTTATGTATGTATATTTACTTAAGCGAATCAATTTTTCACATCAAAGATTTGTATAATATATTTTCTGGGAAGTAAAAAAAGTCGAAGGTATTTTATGTATAGATATATAAACAAAACTACTAAGTATCTTATTTTTTCCATCGGTATACATATATTTCTTTTTTTGCTTTTCTCTTATAAAAAAAAGAGGTTTAAATATGTACTATTTTTTTTAATAAAAACAAAAGCTTATCTAAATTTGCAGTATTAGCAATGGGCTTTTTCGTGCTTATTCGTGCTTTTATGAAATTTTACTGAACGCCCATGCACGCACGATAATATTCCGGCCCGGCCCGTGCCCATCTCTACTGCAAAGCAAAAAGTGAGGTTTAATTTGACATTTTTTCCAACTTTAAATGCAAATTACTTAAAAACTATAAGCCTCCGGAGGGGGAGGTTTTCGGATGTAGAATCAGAGGAACCCGCTCTACACCCCCTCTTTTTTCCAAAGCGTGGTTCCGTATTGGAAAATTTTTCCAAGGCATCGGGCTGATAGGCGGTTTTTTGTATAGCTAATATTTTTTTATCGGATGTTTTAATAAAGAATTTTATGTATACTTCTCGATGCCTGGAGTTCAGGGCTACCAAATCTCTTTTTTTTCACAACGGTGATTAAGCTACGGCATTTTGAGACACAATTTGGGACGAACTGTGAGCAATGGAGCAATTTGTAATTAAGTTAAACATTTAAAATATATTTGTGGCGTGAACTTGTTTTGCTTACTCAACATTTTTTGGTTTATTTAGAAACGGCTCAGCAGGATACAAATACATTGGCCCGTAGTCATAGTCAAAATAAAGTCGACTTTAAAGTTAGTTGCAGCTTTTTTGACAGATATCCCATTGAAAATTATGTCAAAAAGCTGCAACTAACTTTAAAGTCGACTTTATTTTGACTATGACTACGGGCCATTAAGTTTTCAGGTAAATAATGTTCTGTCTGGCTTACATTTATAACAATGCGTGGTAACAAGTACAACACATTATGGCTGTTGAGGATCTTGTGCATATGCGCTTGGATTTCCATATTCGTTGCATTTGTAAATTCACAACAATAAAAGGCGCACGATTGCTATGGTAGCAGCATAAAATTTGCAAATGCAATTCCAACTGCAAATCCAAAACCATTTCCACACCATCCTGAACAGCCGTATTGTTTGGGATTTGATAATGGGCCGTATGAATAAAAATAAGCAATTGCTTTTTCTTAAAATTTCAGATCTTTTACTCAATGAACACGGGCTTATGCGCTGCATTTTTATGTGTGTTTTTCTCTTCTGTAAATGCATAATGTTAAGGTACTACATTAGTATAAAAAAGACTAGAATTTTCGTATAAATAAATCTGAAGCAATTGGAGTGTGGTTGTTAGTTCGACTCTAAACTCGAAGCAGATCATTTATATTATGTTTTTGGAAAACACAATCGTCCACATTGAACATTTGGAGTTAACTTTGACGGTTGTTTGATTACCAATAAAAATTCGAAAAAAAATATTCAAAATCAAGTTTTTGTGTTTCAATTTATTTTGTGCGAATGTCTGCTTCATGATATTAACGCATACGGATTTCTTAGAGACTTCGAATTGTTTAGTTCGTATGCATTATTTATCTCTGCGTACTATGAGACCTCATGGGAAATAACTAATTACCGCCTTTGCCTCTTTTTTGGCGGGAAGACATGCATACAATTTGTAATTTTTTGATAATTTTTAATATCTTTCAGAACAAATTTTTTGAACGTTGGCGTGTCAAATGAAAGCTTTTGGGTCTTTCTGATTGGCTGGAGCAGAAAGCTTTCTGATACAACTCTGCGCAGAACTGGTTTTCAAACGAGTTAAATGATTTAACAGGTTCAATTTTCCAACAACAATTGCAACCGATTTAACTTGTTTATGAACATGTTTTGTTCATTTAACTGCTTTAAGCCAATTTAACATGTTTAGCTCGTCAATTCGAACGTAGTATTACTTTATAACGGGTGATTTTTTTGAGGTTAGGATTTTCATGCATTAGTATTTGACAGATCACGTGGGATTTCAGACATGGTGTCAAAGAGAAAGATGCTCAGTATGCTTTGACATTTCATCATGAATAGACTTACTAACGAGCAACGCTTGCAAATCATTGAATTTTATTACCAAAATCAGTGTTCGGTTCGCTTTACGTCCGATTTATGGTCTACATAATCGACCAAGTGAGCAAACAATTAATGCGATTGTGACCAAGTTTCGCACTCAGTTTACTTTATTGGACATTAAACCAACCACACGAATGCGTACAGTGCGTACAGAAGAGAATATTGCGTCTGTTTCTGAGAGTGTTGCTGAAGACCGTGAAATGTCGATTCGTCGCCGTTCGCAGCAATTGGGTTTGCGAAACACATTTCGAACCGAACACTGATTTTGGTAATAAAATTCAATGATTTGCAAGCGTTGCTCGTTAGTAAGTCTATTCATGATGAAATGTCAAAGCATACTGAGCATCTTTCTCTTTGACACCATGTCTGAAATCCCACGTGATCTGTCAAATACTAATGCATGAAAATCCTAACCTCAAAAAAATCACCCGTTATAAGGGGTATTCACCTTGAGCTGATAAGCTTAAACCAACGAATGTTGCTTGAGCTAATGCTAAGCAATCATTTATTTTGAAATAATGCAAAAACTCGTACGTAAACAGGAAATCATAAAAGCAAGTTTAAACATGCTTGATTTATTTGAAGTAATTTGATCGAATCTAAGTAATTTATGCTGTAATATGAACCTTACATTTTGAATTTTGAAAAATATGTTTCACATAAAAGTATCTTTTTTTTCCAGATCCAAATGGAGCGAAAAATAGACAAAAAATTAGATAGCTTGGAGAAATATGTGCCATTTATAAACTATATTCTTGAAATTGATCGAATAAAATTCGAGAAGTTTATAGATATCAAACACTGGATTATGGGACGAAAAAGGTAATATATATGAGTTTCTAAATTTTTTAATAGTTTAGTAATTAGTACATATTATTGAATTTTTTAGACTTCCTATGAATGTGCTACAAAAGATTGAGCAGTCCATTTTAACACAGTACAGAAATCTGTTTTATGATGGCGTGGTGAGTTACTTTGATACAAGAAATTAGGTGTGTACTCGTATTGAGAGGACAAAATTCTCCAAATTATGGTACAAACAAAAAATGTCATACGGCAACCATAGTCAGCACACACTAAAGTAAACAAACTGGAGATTAATAGCAAATTAGCGAAAAATAAACAGCAAACGTTGTGCATATTAAATTTACTCACTTTTTCGTTGTATACTAGCATTAATAATAAAATTTGCAATAAATAACTCAAAAAGTCCATATTTTCTTTTGTTTATTTACAAACATGTGTTTGTGATCAGCTGATTTTCTTACTTGCAAGTTTTAGCTGGGAAAAATTTTTCCAGCAGAAATTTGCAGCTCTCTTTCACATTTTGCTCTCTCAATTTCCCCTACTTTGCAAGTTTTTTGGGTACGAGAACGCAAAACCAGTAAAAGTTTTCTAAAACTTTAGATAGTTGGGCGTACGAGTACACTCCTATTAATTCAACCGAGAAATGATATTACCTCTCACATCGGTCCAGTAGTTTATTGTACACGTTTTGATCTTTCTTGTTATGTAGCTTATATATCGATAAGCCGCACGAACGATTCGGCTGCGGGGGAAAGCTTCAAAAATTAGTCCGGCGGCATCATTTTAGGCGATTTAAACGTAACCGAGACGATTGGAACCTTATCGACGTAAACCAAGACGAAGACGACCGATAGAGTAATAAAATTGCAATCGGAGAAGATGTTGCTTGCAGACGAATCGTTCGTGCGACCTATCGTTCGAGATACATAAGATGACGGTATATGTATATATTTTTTTTGTTTCAGAAATTTCCAAAACATATTATGGATATTTTTGATACAGACTCTAAAGTTAAGTGCTACAGAGTAAATTTATGTTCCGATGATGAAGATAATGCCGAGAATTCGTCGGATGACGATGATGATGTTATCATCGTTTCAACATCCCCTGCTCCACAAGAAGCTGTGAAGCCGAAATCAGATAATATCAGTCAGTGTGTGCGGGACGGAAATCATAAATCACCCACATCCACGCTAGAACACGGTGTAGTGGATGATCCGATTTGTTTAGATTCCGATGATGATGAAGATCAAAATCAAAAGGGAGTGGTAGCCCATAAAGACGAGTTTCTTGTTGAAGAGAAACTTTTTAAAAGAAGAGAAGATTTTATAATTAAAATTGATGATGACAACGAAGCCAATAAAATGCAAGAAGGCGAAGCTAATAAAGCTGTTGAAAGAGAAGTGAACCAATTTGATGAAGTAAATGAAGCAAATGTTATTCCAGATGAGATGCCAGCCAATGATGTTGATCAAGAAAATGAAGCAACTGCAATTAATGATGAAAGCGCAGCTCTTGGCCTACAAAATGTGGTTGAACAAGGAAACAATGCCCAGCAAGAAGAAATTAATACAAGCGAAATTTCAAAATTCAGTACTTCTAAAGTTACCGAGACAAATTTAGAGAATCTGGATATCGAAAAGCTGGAAGAAATCTATGATGAATTAACAAAGGAAAATGGAATAGATGTTAAGCACCTGTTAGAGAGTATAGAATTGATCTCATCATTGGATAATGTAAATAAGGCGTCTAATGAAAGCGTTACTAATTTTGCCGCACAATACGAGAATGTATGTGTACCTACGTATCCTCAAGTTCAAATGCAATCAAATGAAATGCAACGCCACGCATTTAATATGCAACCTGTGGCACAACGACCTCAGCCGTTTAAATTAAACTTAAAGGATCCACGGATTGTCAGATTACTAGAAAGAAATAAAAATTTGACATTTGCTTCTACGCAAGTCACAAATGACAATAGCAAAAGTAATTCCACAACAACAAGACAAGAACCAACAACATATGGTGAATATAAACGACTGAAAGCTGAGCAAACGAAGAAAGTAGAAGAGGCCAAGAGAGCAGATGAAGCGAGAAAAGCGGAAGAAGCAAGAAAAGCTGAGGAAGCAAAGAGGGCGGAGGAAGCTAGAAGAGTAGAGGAGCTGCGAAGGGCAGAGGAAGCGAGAAGAGCAGAGGAAGCGAGAAGAGTTGAGGAAGCGAGAAGAGTTGAGGAAGCAAGGAGAGCAGAGGAAGAAAGGAGGGCAGAGGAAGCCAGAAGAGAAGAGGAAGCGAGAAGAATAGAGGAAGCGAAAAGAGTAAAGGAAGCAAGGAAAGCAGAAGAAGCAAGAAAAGCAGAGGAAGCTAAGAAAGCGGAAGCATTGCAAAAAGCAGAGGAAATACTAAAAGCCGAGATAGGAAAGAGAGTGGAGGAAGCGTTGAAAGCTAGACAGGTAGAGGAAGCAAGAAAGGCAGCTGAAACGGCAAGGGTAGATTTGGAAAAGAGATTAGAAGAAGCGTCAAAATTAAAGGAGGTAAAGAGCACCGAGTTAGAAAAGAAAACAGAGGAAGCAAGGAAGGAGGCGATGAGAAACTCAAATGAAATTGGGAATCATTTAACCTCATTCAGGACAAACAGAGTAGATGCGCCAAACCAAAACAGCGAAATTTCCAGTAGCTCTTCGCTATCGATTCTTTCGAAGTCTTCACAGTTGCCATATCGCAATGAATCACCTGTTGAACCGCAGACGGATTTGAGAAGCATCATTTTGAATACCATACTGCCATACGGTGATAAGATATTAGATGTTCTTAGGAGAGAGAATACCTTACAGGTGCTAAGTGACACCGTTGCAAAAATAAGTACGCCAGCAGTAAGTCAGAGGGAAGTTAAGCCTATTTCAACGGTGAATGAACGCAGGTTGTCGGAGAAAAGTTCCGAACAGAAAGGAAAAACTACAAGGGGAAGCGATATACAAACTCATCATTGTCAAAAAGTTCATGCTTATGACCAAAAATCAAATGAAATTGTTTCGGAAGAGAAAAAAAATCTAAAAAGGTCCCGCAAAATAAAAGAACCTAAAATTAAACCCTCTTATAAAAGAATACGAACGATTTCATCTTCTTCATCGGTATCCTCATCGCTGTCATCACCGACATCATCTCCAATCTCGAATGCGTCTTCCGCGCTTACACAAGCTTGTGCGATGAAAACAAACCCGAAAGCAAATCCAGCATTGCTCAGCGAGCCGATTGTGAAATTAAAAAGACTTTCGCCAAAAACTATTTTGAAATACACAAAGAGGGCAAAAGTATCGCCTAGCATCGACAATGATAGTTCGAAAACTATTAACATCCGTTTGGTAGAAGATGTTTCGAAAACAAAGAAAATGCATCGTGTCGTTGAGCCAAAACCAATAAAATTGAACGTTAAATACAAAAACGTCGATATTTTAATGACGAGCGAAAATACAACTTTTTGCATTCTGTGCAAATCGAGGCCTAGTGACTTAACTAATCACTACAGAAGAGTGCACAAAACTGAATCATATGTAGCGCGTTTAAGTAGATCGGCTTTGAGTCTTCTGGAAACTAATACTCCATTTGCACAAAGCAAATCCAAGGGCACAAATTGCAAAATGAAAAAATATTTGCTAAAATGCGTATTCTGCCAGGATGAAGTAGAAGATAAGTTTATAAACTTTTACAAACATTTTTCAACCCATACAGGCGAGTATGCCTTCCAATGCAGCGTTTGCAATTTGGAAAAACCTTTTGAATTCGATATTCAGTCTCACAAGTGTCATACCAAGTCTTGCCGGAATGCACGTGTAAATACCCTTTATCAATATCCACCAAATGCCCTGGTCATATATTTATATGGTTGCAAAATATGTAATTTTTTGCAATTAAATGAGGCCAATACATTCAAGCATTTGCGAGATCACCACGATAAAAGGCAAGATGATTCTAATTTAATTCGCAAATACATCTTGGCAGCTGTAAACGATGAGGAAGTGTGCGAGGCGGCCTCTGAACCAGATCCAAACTTTGATTTCCTGAAAGAGGATGGGGATATTCTGGTTCGAAATGAAGCACTCTCTGAGGATATGCTAGATTTCCACAAAATCGAAAATGGACCAAGCGGATATACCAAATCCACCTCGTTAGGTGAGCCGCAATCCGTCGTGGAAAATGGCAGAGCTATCAATACAAGTATAGGAGGAATGGTGGAGTTACCAACTAGCAGCTATATTTATAATGAAAATATAGACAGCGCACTAACTAATACCATGGCTCCGAGTATGATAGATGAATCACAAACAATTATTCCTTCACAACCTGCGCAACGAAACGATAAACGGCCTGCACCTTTATCATCCATGGAAAATCTTGTAGGCGTAAGCGGCGCGTCTCATTTGGAACTCATAAAAACTGAACCCCTCGACGTATTGCCGTTGCAAAAGGAAAATTATGACTACAAGAAACTGTTAAATACCTGCCGCAAAGTCCATCGCCAATATCCGTTTGGAATTTCCTACTTTGGTTTATATAAGTGCATGGCAACTGACTGCTTATTTTCAACGGATTTAAAGCAAGAAATCTTACAGCATCTAAGCGAGCATCGAAGAAGTGAATACCCACCTGAAGGATATCTGCAATGCGCTTATTGTCAGCTGGATGCAGAGATTTGCAACACACCCGAAATGTTGATTGAACACATTGACAAATGTCATCACCGTTCGCAGTTTCAATGTTCAGTTTGTTGTTATCGCGCTTCGTCGCCGAGTTATGTGTTTTTGCATGAACAAATGTTACATCCTTTTGTGCTGGATAAATTTGTATATAAATGCACATTTGACATAACGTTGGACTACAGCATACCATACAATATTACAGATTTATTAGAGGAAAACGTGGAACCGCTTATTTGCCCGTTTGAAGGTAAGACTTCTTACTGATTATTACATTTATAAAATTGCTTAAACTAACGTTTTTATTTAAATCCCATAGACTGTTTTTACAGTTTTCAGAGTTTGAGTGGGATGCAAGATCATTTGATGAGCATGCATTCTTTGCCTGTTAACAGTGCATCTGTCACAGGGCTTGAAAAATATGCATGCATCTATTGTCAAAAGAATTTTCATGACATTGACGGCGTCAAAAAGCATTTAGTTTTGTCACATCCCGACCAGCAGCCGTATGTATGCGAGAGAGTGCTTGTGATGGAAAAGAAGGTAATTGATTTGTTTTCTTGAAATTTTTATATTGTATTATTAAAAGTACCGTTGCTTAAAAGGACAATTTTAAAGTCGATCCCATGTCAGGGCTCTCACTTTGATGATTCGACAACTGCTCAACTAACATAATGACGAACATCTGAAGACTTGAAACTGAGTAAGCTTTTGCCACCAGGAAGTCCGCGTGCAATGCGATAAAGCGCGATGACAGTGGACATTTCATTCGTTGATCACACTTCGTCGGACCGACTATTCCCGAGCTTTTTTTTTTTTGTTTTTTTGTCTGTAAATTGATATTCAGCCTCGTAGCGTACGCCGTAAATTAGACTAAAATGCACGACTCGACAACATTGGCATTGCCTATTGTCGTGCTGAAATAAGGAAACGACGAAAACTGTCGAAAACTATCGAGTGCTGCCAAGGCAATGCCACGTACTTTTCGATACGACTCGACCCTCTAAAAAACGACTTCCATTCGACACGAAAATCGCAATGAGGCTGATCGTATCCTTGGGAGGAGAAGGTAAAGGCATCACAAACACTCATAACTTCGTGCGTCTCCCACTTTCATTAGTGCTGGAGCCTTCAAAGCCATTGGTCCTTACGAAATATGCATGTAGATGCTAATGTAAACTATCATATTTGCCCAAGGTTCAAACTTGTTATTTACCCCTCTCGTTATGTATGTAAAAATCAGTGAAAGTGGTTCTGCCACTAAGCCTGGGAAACCTGCCAAAAAACGAGGGTATTATCGCGAAATAAAACTCGTTTTCCCATTAGTGAATACACTAAAGATCAAAATCTAACGCCATGAACACTCAGGTACCTCGTGGCTAGGGTGTTCCATTATTCGCCTTTTTCCCAAAACCGAGGTCCGAGTTATTCGAAAAATAGCAATTCGAAAAAAACCGGTCACAAAGTTTTCTACTTTCACGAAATTATAACTGTCAACAGTGACGTGGGTGCCAAGGTGCGAATGCGCTGACTGTTTAATGACAGGAGCTATTTCGTCTTGTATTCGTTTACCGCTGCGTTGCCTCCTTATACAACTTGGAAAAGGCAAGAACAAACTTCGCGGTTTTTTATTATCGATGATGTCGATGTCGTCAAAAGTCTTCCCTCCATAATTTAAGTACGTTCGGGAAATCGGTCACTATCGGTCAGTCGTATAAGCTGTATGGGATAAAGAGTACGTTCACGTATGTCATCATCCGAAAAATGTGTTTGACGTGACGAGTAAGATGATATCGTTTGTCACGAATCGAGACCTGGTATTGACACCTTCCGTTAATCGTTTAAAGCAGAGATCACACGATTTATGCATTTGTACAGATTTGTGTCTATAAAAATGAGTTCAGGTCAATAAAAACTTCTCAGACAACACCACTCTGTAACTGTGAAAATTTACAAATCTGTACAAATGTACAAATCGTGTGATCTCTGCTTAACTCTCTTGTAAAATTTTTGGGTGTTCTTCCTGTCGGCCAGCATTTCAAGCTCTTCGCAATCCCGTATTTCAGCCTCTCTTGTTATTGCGGAAATTACGTCTTGCTTCCCTCCTCAGTTCCCTATAACGGTCCCACATAGCTCGCGTTGCGCCCGATCTCAGCGAGGCCCTGTAGGCGGCATATTTTTCTCTGCACATTCTTGACATTCCTCATCCTACCAGTTGTTCTTTCGGGCTCGCTGAAATCTGACTACTTCTTCGGCAGCAGTACGTATTGAGCGGGAAACGTGGTTCCACTGCTCGCATATGTCAGTTTGTTGAAGAGTGCTCTCTGACATTCTCATCTCATTCCCACGACAGCCGGTTCTACGTACCGGAATGACTCGGGTTTTACCCGACCAAGGGCTGTTGTTTCGGCGATCTAACCCCGTCTAGATCGGCGATACCCACCAATCATTATCCGTCCATGGAGCAATACCTTGCAGCCGGATTGCTCCGCATCCTTCTTCTCCGGGCGGGCGTAGAGCCCAACCCCGGACCTGAAATTTACTTCTGCTGTGTTTGCCAGAATCGACTCCACCCGAACTCCACTTCGGTTAGGTGCAACTCCTGCAACGGGTGGAGTCACCTAAGAACCTGCTCTGGCCTTAGGTCTCACCGGGAGTGGACCACAAACTTTGTGGCTCCCTGTTGCTCAAGCCAAATGGTACAATGAGCCTCCACGGCTACCCACTCGCGTAATGCAACAGCAAACCTCCCAACACACCCCACCCACACAACCTACCGACCGGTCCCACTCGCGAGCGCGAGCCAACCAGCAGCTACTGGTTGCCCACACCATCTGCTCCGTGTGCCAGAACAGAATATACCGGAATGTGACATCAGTCAAATGCAACACATGCCTTGGCTGGTGCCACTTCCGGCTATGTTCTGGTCTACGCACCACTCGCGAATGGACTACAAACTACAGCGCCCCTTGCTGTAGTGCACCGCCGGCGCAGACAACAACGCCCATATCGCAGCCACCTACCATCAGGCTGCAACAGCAACTGCGTCAGGCGCAACAGGCCCAAGGTAGGCCCCACACTTCTCTGACCCCCCGTATCGCGACCAGCCTCCCAAGGCACATGAACGTACTCCAACTCAACTGCAACGGACTCCAGAGCAAGATTGAGGAGATTGCAGTCTTTATGGGTCGGCACGGCATATTGATAGCTGCGGTCCAAGAAACGAAGTTGCACAGCAACTCAACTCTGTTGGGTTGCGCCGCCTACAATGTGCTCCGTAAAGATCGCGAGCGAGATAATGGTGGAGGACTAGCGTTCATTCTACACCACACAGTGCAGTATCGGCTAATCGAAGAAGACATCGACCCAAGGGACACTACCCTAGAATGTCAGGGCATAGCTGTCCGGTCAGGCGATGTCGAGCTCGAAATATTTAACGTGTACATACCCCCTGTCACCTGCTGCCCGGCTGGATATCTCCCTGACATAGGTGCGCTACTCAGAGGCGAAAACCGATTGCTAGTAGGTGACTTCAATGCGCACCACGATCTTTGGCACTCAAGCCTGGCCAATGATCGGAGGGGAAACAGTTTGGCTGAGCAGATAGACGATTCGACATTCTGCACCATGAACGACGACGCCCCCACCAGGATTGTGGGCAGCTGCAGCAGCTCGCCAGACCTAACAATTGCTAGCGCTGGTCTGATAAATAGCATATCATGGCGACCTATGCTAACGTTAGCATCAGACCATCTGCCCATAATCATCTCGATCAATAAGCCCACCGACTTTGCTCCCGCGGATCACCGAACCTACACCAACTTCAACAAAGCTGATTGGAACGGCTTCGCGGAAGTTACCGAGAGCAGCTTCGCCGCCCTCCCCACACCCACAGACGTACATGCTGGCGAACGCCAGTTCCGCAGGGTAGTCACAGCCGCAGCAGCTCGCTTCATACCGTCCGGACGTATCGCGGAAGTCCGCCCAAATTTCCCGGCTGAAGCAGCTGTACTAGCAAATGAGCGTGACCAGCTACGCCAGGTCGACCCAGGTCAGCATGGCTTCCGTAAAGTGCACAGCACAGCAACAGCACTTAACGCCATAAACACCCAGATAACTCGTGGCCTAAATCGAAACCGCCCCTGTGAGAGAACTGTCCTAGTAGCGCTGGACTTGTCAAAGGCGTTTGACACCGTCTGCCATTCCACGCTGCTAGAAGACATTGAGGCCTCCTCTCTCCCACAGGGACTGAAGCGATGGTCGGCGAATTATATGAGTGGTCGACAATCATCAATAATCTTCAGAGATCAAACCTCGAAACCAAGAAGAATAAAACAAGGGGTTCCACAAGGTGGGGTTCTCTCCCCCTTACTTTTTAACTTCTACATCTCGAAACTCCCCCAGCCACCTGAAGGAGTTTCCCTGATCTCGTACGCTGATGATTGTTCGATTTTGGCGTCTGGGAATGGAATTGATGACCTCTGCTCAAAAGTAAACGGCTATCTCTCCAGCCTTTCTCGCTTCTTCACTGCAAGGAGCCTAACCCTCTCCCCAACGAAATCAACGGCGACCCTCTTCACCACCTGGACGAAGGAGGTCAGGCTTGAATTAAGCATTCACGTCGACGGCACACCTATACCGACGGTGAACAACCCGAAAATTTTAGGGGTTACCTTTGATAGCCTGCTCTCTTTCTCCGCGCACACAACCGCAGTTGTCAACAAAGTACAGAGCCGCAACAAGGTCCTCAAGTCGCTCGCCGGCAGCACTTGGGGCAAAGACAAAGAAACGTTGCTGGCAACATACAAGGCAATTGGCCGGCCGGTTCTAAATTATGCTGCGCCAGTTTGGTCACCGGGGACTAGTTGGACGCAGTGGACGAAGCTACAGACTTGTCAGAACGCCGCACTCCGGACAGCGACTGGGTGTCTTCTGATGACGCCTGAGCATCACCTACACAGTGAGGCCCAAGTGCTCCCCGTAAGGGAACACAACAAGATGCTCTGTAAGCAGTTTCTTGTGGGGTGCCACAGAAGTGAACACCCCAACAGACCACTGCTGGAGGAGGAGCCTCCGCCCAGGCACGTCAGGGGGCACCTATTCATGTACAAGGACGCAGTCCAGACCCACACAGACCAACCACTGGACCCAATGACGTACAGACGAGCGATCAACGACATTCATAGGGAGTCTGTCTCCACCTACCTCGACTCCCGGCCTAGGAATGTCGTTATCGGAGCCCAATCACCACCTGTGGAAGAGACGGAGCTTCAATTACCAAGAGAGACCCGCGTTACCCTGGCTCAGTTACGGTCTGGATATTGTAGCCGCCTAAACAGCTACCTGTCCAGACTCGACCCAAACATCCCAAATGAGTGCCCGGCATGTGGAGACTCCCCCCACGACACCAACCACCTCTTCACATGCCAGCTCAATCCGACTCAACTAACACCCCTCTCCCTTTGGTCCGACCCCATCGAAACAGCTCGTTTCCTGGGCCTACCGTTAGTTGAGCTTGACGATAATGATTAAAAGTTGACCCGAAACAGGCGGGGCTTAGTAGTGCCGCTACAACAACAACAGAGCAGTTGTAAGAGTCGAGTGGCGAATGCATTGCTGCGCAGAGACGGGTATGCAATTTGGCTGCAACAGAACAACGTTCTGGAAGCGTGCCTTCCGTCTATCCCAACGTGATCGATTTGGTTTCTCGTTTTTCGATATGGATACAGCCAAGTAGCTTGTTCGATCTGTTCATACATGAACTTAGTACTGCATACAAATTCTCAATGAGTTTTTGTGGAATGTGCTGGAGTGAAAGCCCATTACCAGATATGAATCTGGGTCGTTCCGGTTACGTTGACCCGATTGTCGTGGGAACGCACATCTAACCACTCGGCTACGGCGGTCGCCATTAAGAGGAAAGATATCATGTATTAAAATCAAATTCAAATTAACATGGACGGCTGAGTCGAAAATCGCCCTATCTTGGCCTCCGGTTCGAAAAAGCTTTCCTCAGATGGCGATTTCTTGAATTTATAGTTTTTGAACCAAATTCTTAAATAGCCGACGATATGTAATTCCGTAGGGGTCTTGGCTGTTGGTGCAACGTGGAACGACTGATTCTCAACACAGGGATTATGTACTTACAAAATAAATTGACACTTAGACTTTAGTCAACAGGATCGCAAGACAGAAATATTATAAAACTGTCAAAATGCTTTCACATTTGCAAATTTATTCTCATTTAATGAGACTATTATTCTTGTTTAATATTAACTAAATGATTACATCCTTTTTTCTTGTAGGATTTGGTGCAAAACCTGACAATAACATTTGTGTCATTGCCAAATGTACCACCCGAAAACATCAAACAAGTAAATTTAAAGGAAGAATTAGTGTCAAATGAAAGGGATACGTGGTTGGATAACCCGACCAAATCAGAATCGGTGATCTCGGGAGATATCTCAGTGACCAACTTCAGCGAAACAGATGTCGTCAATCAGGGCGGAAGTGAAACCAAACCAAATCTAGATCAATTAATGCAAACAGCGGAGGAGAGCGTTCGACGAAGCTTATTGAAATTAACTGGAAGTACAGGCATCTTACCCAATTTATTATACCGCTGCCCTCAACCCACTTGCGGTGGCTTCTTCTCATCCTACGACTTATGGTATAGGCATATGAGTGTGCGCCATTGCTGTATCATTAGTGTGTGTCCACATTGCCCAAATGAAAAGAAAAAGGAGCTACCTTTGGTTGATTTCAAAGTACATTTTCAGCAACACTGTTGTCATCTTTATGGCTGCTACCACTGTGGCGAAACATTTTCCTGTAAGCAGGCAACAATTGATCACATAATACTTTTACATGCAGATATAAGTCCAGATGCTTATGCAATACGAGTCGAGAAAGTGCCACTATACTTTAATCAACCGTTTCATGTACTTATGAAATCAAAGGAATGCGATGAACCGATACTAGATAGATATTGCTTTCTGCTTGCACTGCAAGATATTGTGCTAAACCGTTGCAAATATGTTGAGAAAGTATACTTCGACTCCATAAAAACTCAATGGGTTGTACCATTAACAGCTTCGTGGTTGGAAAATTTCCCAAGCTTCAAAAATAATGATAACATCAAACGGAAATGCTTCTGTCAAAACTGTCCCTTTCAAACATTTAATAATGAAGCTTTTTATGAACATTTGAGAAGGAGTCACCGCATCGAGGGTAGTAGATTTAAATGTGCTAAATGTGATTTTCGTGTTGATTGCCAAAATTGGGACCCCATCATAGAACATATAAAGATGCATGTGCTTAATATACATATTTGTTGTGTGTGCTCTTATTACCATCATGATCGCCAAAAACTTTTCGAACATCTAAAGCAAGAGCATCTATACAGAGATGTTCCGATCGTGACCATAATACGCTCGACAGAGTGCGTCCAAATATCAATAGCCATCGTATTTGCACAGCTGAGGAAAACCTTTTCGAGTACTAAAAGCTGCTTCTTTTGCCCTGAAAACGCTGCCAATTCGTGGGAAACATATGCATCTCATTTGAAGAAGGACCACTTTATTACACTGCAATATTTTTGTGAAATTTGTGATGAGTCACTTCAACTAACAGAATGTGATGATCATTTCAGCAAACATAATCCAACTACAGCGCTGAGAATACGATGTCAATTCGCTACCAATAATCACTTGTACATAGATACAATAAAACCTTTGAAGCTGCGTATAGAATCCTGCGATGGGCCCAATTTCGACCAAAACCAACCTATTGGCGTATATAAAAACATCGTAAAGCAAGAACCATGCGATAATGAATCAGATAGCGATGTTGAATTCATAAATGATGAAGATATTGTCATTGCTAATGATGCAAAATTGTCTGAAGCTCAGCAAAGTCGTAAAGTTATTCGGTGTGTGAACCTTAAAAACCTACAAAATCAACCGCCGGATGATACCAACGTTTCTCAAAGGCCAATTCTTCCCCAACCTGAGTTGATAATGCACCCTCAAGGATTTTCACAACCACCACTTCCAGCTCCAGAAACACAAATATGCCCCCAGCTGTTGTCGCCCACATCATCGAACAGCACTTCAACAGCTTCAAATACTGCAGTATTATCGCCGCGGATAGCAATACAAAGCTACAATCCAAATTTTACTGGTAATTGCAATGTAAGGCCGGTGAAAATTTTCATAAGGCCTAATACTACCAACATGGCAATGGGCGCGTTAGGTAGTTCAAGCTAAAGTTGTGCTATGTAGAAGAGGATTTTAATTTTTTAATTTACATATATATTTTTTCAGGTAACCCATGGAATAGCAATTTCCAATTCCAGAGATAAAATATAAGCATTTTCTTTAATCTTTTAATCTTTTATTTTTACAAACCACATACAAATAATTTTATTTACTCCATTAACACTATAAGGTGCCTTTGAACAATTTTAATTATTATTTAGTGAAAATCCAAAGAGCTGTAAATGATTTATATATATTACACTATTAATATTATTATAATCAATATTAATGTTAATTAAATTTCACTAAAATAATCGCTCAAAAAATTATCATACACCCAAAAAACTCGTTCTTTAATAAGAAATAGCGCTTGTGATGATATTCCGTCGCACTAAAAAATATAGCTCTCATTAGTGGAATTCGCGCTACTGCTAGCAACAACAAATCACACGCTCATACAGTTACAATTACACATCATACAACGAATACACAGAAGAGCGAATTCTCCTATTATATCTGCATATGAATAAAAATAGCAAGTATTTTACGATTAAGTTGTACAATGGAAAATAAAATAGACGTGTATTTTATTTTTTTACGTATAATGTAAAGCTAGTAGTATAAGTTTGTTGAATTTTTATATTTCCACAATATGGCTTTTTTATTTATTTCACATTTATTTTTTTAAAGGCTTCAATGAAGTTTTGTGAATGTAAATATGTACATACTACAAGAAATGGTGTAAGTTTTTGTCTTCAAAAATATTGAATAAATAAGCATACCAAATATTTTCTTGAATAAACTCCTGGAATCTCAATACTTAAGCTCAAGTTTGACTCGTGTAGGAATTGTGCACTACGTCAGGTTTGTTTGATTGCAATTACCACAAAAGTCGTAAGTTCGGGAGAAACGGAACCTAATAAATATACCGTTTTTGTTAATTTCTGAAAACTCATGTAATTATTCTCCAATTTAAAAAATGTTTACGTCGTTTTTAGTGAAACTTGAGATTGGTGCAACGGATACCGAGATACACACACTTAAACACAAGGAGGCGGTGCCACATCCATCTATTCACAATTTAATAAAATTTAAACTTCTTGCGAAAATGGTACTCGGTATCAATTTTTAGCAATTCTTTACTGAAATATCGCATTTTTAATTTTTCAAAAATACCGCTTTATGGAAGATAGACGTGGTTTTAAATGAAATACATCTATTTTCAATACAAACCAAGCTTTAGACCTGAGATATCTCAATTATGACTCGAATTATCCTGTGCATTTTGTTGTTGTCGTTGGAGCAGCATACAAGTTCCCCAAAGGGGTTTTGGGGAGTGTTGCTGGAGTGACAGTCTTTGGCCAGATATAAATCTGGGTTGTTACGGTTACGTAGACCCGACTGTCGTGGGAACGCTGTGCAATTTGTTAAAGTCTGTGCTATCATGTAATGGTTCTTGACATATACAGGCAGGTTTTACTGATAGTAATAAATAAAAATAGATTGCCGCTTACACACATGTATGTGAGTGTTTGGCCAAGCTTCTCCTCCGATTTGTGGCGTGCGCCTTGATGTTGTCACACAAAGGGGAGGGGCCTACAGTTTTACGCCCACTTCGAACGGCGATTTTATTTTTATGAGAAGCTGCTTTTCATGGCAGAAATACACTCGGAGGTTTGCCATTGCCTGTCGACGGGCGACCTTCTCTTCTTCTTTTTTGGTGCTGTAATCGCCTAAGCGATTTTGGCCGAGTTCAACAAAGCACACCAGTCGT